CAGATGTTCTTCCATGGCAGGGGAAGCTCAATTACATGGAATATGATTTTACTTTTGATCTTGAGCTTATGAATATAATTCTGGGGAACCGGGCTAGCCTTGACTAAGGAAGGAGACTGACAACAATCTGTGGCCAACCTCAGTTACATAGTGAGAACTTATTTCAAAAGATAAAGAAACACAAAGAAAGGACAGTTTTAAGGTTAGCGGGAGGGGTGGTTCCATGGTGGAATGACTTGCCTACAGTCTATAAGGCCCTGGCTTGGATCCCCAGCACCTGGGAGTTAGGAGCATAGAACCCGGAGAGCAAATCCAATCATTATGTAAGAGAAATTTCATTCCCATTAACCTTTTTAAAAATTATTACTTGAAGCAGGTTGTACTAGTAAATGAAAGAGTTTAACCACTATGTTCTTGTCAAATAAGAAAAGTGAAAGTAATCTTTTATGTGCTGTTTTGCTACTACTATGTAGCCCAGGCTAAAACTCTCAGTCCTAAGTACACAGTAAGTGTAGAGACTAAGTCCTAAGTACTCAGGAGGTAAAGAGACTAAGTCCTAAGTACTCAGGAGGTAAAGAGACTAAGCACTAAATACTCAGTAAGTATAGAGAAAACGAATCAAAAAACATTGTTTCCTTGATTTTTTTTAAATCCTCAGTACCATCAAGTACTTTAGCAACAAAGTAGAACTCTGTCTCCCAAATAGAGACAAATTGATAAACAAATAGTATAGTCTTAAAAACTAAATAGTCCAGCATGGTTGTACATGCCTATAATTCTAGCAGTTGTGTGGTTGAGGCAGGAGAACCAGACATTGCAAGCCAGCATGGCCTAGACCATGAGACTCTGTCTCAAAAAGTCAATCTGCTGACTATTGAAAAACTAGAGAGGTGGAGAGATGGCTCAGCAGGTAAAGGCACTCACTGTGCAGTCCTGTCAATAAAGGTTCAATTTTCAGAACTCACAAAAAGGTAAAAGAGAGAATTAACTTCATAATGCTTTCATGTCACACACACACACACACACACACACACACACACGCATGCACACACACACACAGAAATTATAAATTATTTCAAAGGAAACTGTTGAGCGTTCTGGAGAGATGGCTAAGGGGTTAAGAGCATTATCAGGACCCCAAGTTCAGTTCCCAGCACCCACAACTGCCTGTAACTTCAGCCAGAGAGAATCTGACTGATTCTTCTGTTCTCCTTGAGTAGCTGCACTCTTGCTCATATACACACACAAACAAAGCAAAACACCACACAGCTGAAGAGGAGGCTCAGGGGTTAACAGCTCTTGCAAAGAACTTCTAAAGAGTTCAGATCACAGAGCCCACATCAGGTAGGCTCACAAGTGACTCCTTCTGGCCTCCTTAGACTCCCACACACATGCAGTGTTCATGCACACACACACACACACACACACACACACACACACACACGTAATCTAAGTCTTGGGGCTGGATGGATGGTTCAGTGTTTAAGAGCACTGGCTGCTCTTCCAGAGGACCTGGGTTCAATTTCTAGAACCCACATGGAGGTTCACAACCATCTGCAATTCCAGTTCCAGGGGACTCAACTCCTCTTCTGGCCTTTGAAAGCACCAGACACTCAGGCAAAAACTCACACATAAAATAATAATAAAGGGGCTGGAGAGATGGCTCAGTGGTTAAGAGCATTGACTGCTTTTCCAGAGGACCTGGGTTCAATTCCCAGCACCCACATGGCAGCTAGTAACTGTCTATAACTCCAAGACCTGACACTCTTATATAGACATATATGCAGGTTAAACACCAATGCAAATAAGATAATAATAAAAATTATAAATTTTATATTTAAGAAAATCTTTAAAAACTATGGGAATTGTTATAAAATCATGCTGCTGAATTCTGAACCCTACACATTTCTGATGATGCAATAATGGACAGAAAGATAATCATAATAAGAATTTGGATTAAAAGAAAAATAAAAAAAACACTTGCTGCTGGGCAGTGGTGGGGCATGCCTTTGATTCCAGCACTCAGGAAGCAGAGGCAGGTGGATCTCTGTGAGTTCAAGACCAGCCTGGTCTACAAGAGCTAGTTCCAGGACAGCTTCCAAAGCCACAGAGAAACCCTGTCTCAGAAAAAAAAAAAAAAAAAAACATGCTGGCACAATACAATAGTACACATTTATAAATCCACCTATTCAACAATAAATCTATAATGAAATTAAGATAGCTGGGAATGTAGTTCAGTGGTAGCACACTTGCCTAGCATGCAAAACACCTCGAGTTCAAGTCTCAGATAGGGACAGATGAAACAGTTTCCTGTGTGGTACTGGAGCTCACACTGCAAACACTCTAGAAGAAATGAGTGTATTCTCTCTAGTCAGGTGAAGGTAAGCCAGAGGCATGGCTATGCCAACTTATCTTCTTCTGATGTAGCTAATCATGGAGCTGGCACCAGTGAAAATTTTGATTCTCCATTCTCCCAGGAAATAGCACCCTGCAAAGTCAGAGGCCTCCAGTGTCCACATGAGAGCAAGGGGAAGGTCAAGGTGAATATGAAAAATACGACCCTCCCAAAAAAATACAAAAACCCAGGGGCTGGAAAGATGGCTCAGTGGTTAAGAGCATTGGCTGCTCTTCCAGAAGACCCAGGTTCAATTCCCAGCACCCACACGGCAGGTCACAACTGTCTGTAACTCCAGCTGCAGGAGATCCAACACTCTCACACAGACACGAATGCGGACAAAACATGAATGAACAAAAAAATTTAAAAATTAAATTAAATCTTTAAAAGAAAATACAAAAACCCTAATTAACTTTCCCGCCTTCCATTAGTTTCCCTCTGACAGCTGCTTTATCAGCAGTGTCCCTGAAGTCACCACATATGGGTCTGAGAGGCCAACGTGTCAATGAATGGCAGCCTGAAACACACAAAGTGCTATCTTCTCTTGGCTGGGGGCTTTGGCCCAGATAGAGCAGTAGTTCTCAACCTGTGGGCTGCGAGCCCTTTGGGGGTCAAATGACACTTTCACAGGGGCCCCATATCAGATACAGTAGCAAAATTACAGTTACAAAGTAGCAACGAAATAATTTTGTGGTTGGTCATTACATCTGCAATTCTCAAAGACCTTTCTTTGATCTAAGGACCACCCTTCTGTGGTGGTCAAAACTCCCACCCATGCATGCATGCTGTGTGTTTCATCCACTCTTTGCTTTCCTAATCTGTCAGACTCCACAGCAAGACAGTAAGACTCTTATTGATTGTTTGGCTTTTTTTTTTTTCCGACAAAGTTTGACTTCCCTGTCCTAGCTAGCCTGGAACTTGCTTTGTACGCCAGGCTGGCTTTGAACTCAGATCCTCCTGGCCCTACCTTCCAAGTGCTGGAGTTAAAGGTGTGAACTACCATGCCCTGCTTTCCAGCTGATCTAAACCCTCCAAGCCCCTGCTGTATCAATCCCCTTATTGCTAGAATAAAAGGCACGAGCCACCATGCCTGACCTAAGAATACATTTTTATTTGATCTACTTAATTACATTCATTAATTGATTGATTTTTGTGAGTGGAAATCCAAGGACAATTTGGATGAGCTGTTTTCTCCTTCCACCGCCGTGTGGGGAGGATAGAACTCGGGGCCTCAGACCTCATCGGCCTGAAGAACACAGTTTTAATTTGTAATCCTCCTAAGGAAAACTCCTAAGTGAGTCACTAACATGCTAACTGGAGGGGAAAGGAGCTTGACTTTTGGCTCAAATAAGTAATGGAAAAAACAAAAACAAATCAACAATGGCCTATGTACCTAGAAGACAGTATCTTTTTATCTCTTTGATAAGACTTAATAAGGAAGCCACATCCCTAAGTGCCATAGGACAGTACTGGAGTGCCAGTCAACTTTTACCTAATTAGAGAGTCTTTTATCTGAAAAAATTCCACTTCCATTCATTTCTACGGATTTCTTGAACACCAGGGACGGCAGAAAGCTATCAGCTGTCATACTTGGTAGACTCTTTTTCCCCAGATTGAATTTTCCGCTGGAAACAACAGCAAAGCTGGAGCCTTCAGAGGTAAACGTCCCCAGGAAGACCCCCCTCTGCTTTGGTTAACACTTAAATCAGACGCCCCAGTCACCTAAAATTCCGAAATCTCATGCTAATAACCCGCCATCCAGTCACCTGTGCCTCAAAGCAGTCGGTCATGTTTTCTCAAGGGAGAAAAAAAATCTTTTTTTTTTCTATGGAAAAAGACTTCGTCTCTACAGGAAATATGATGCGGCTGACTGTGTGATTATCTGCTTTTCCAAAAGCTGACGCTTTAAAAATCTTTTTATAAACCCTTTAACTTCCCACTAAAGAAGGAAGGCGGTCAAATGATAAGTACTAAAGAGGAAAGAAAAAGAGAGAAATCTTTTTGCAAAAGGCAGGGCCCTATGGAAGATTTGGGGACAGTCGTCAGGACTGCCCAAAGTCCACCTTACCTTTGGTAAGTACTTGGCGTCGCCCACTTCAGAAATTAACACCATCCACAGCCCGGTAGCAATCTACAAGACTAGGAAGCCACCTACAACATCTTCTCTGTCCGCCCTCTTTTAAACAGAAAACCAAATTAAGGAGTCTCCAAGCTCCTTCCCACCGTGTAGCTTAAAGCAACAGATCGCTCGCTCTAGGCTTTAACTCTCTCGGGCTCTGGGAATTCCAGTTTGTCACAATTTCTTAACCTGGACGACCTGCGGAGAGAAACTCCCCAACCCAGAGCCTGGCTTTTCGGGGTCCGAGCTCTCGGCGAGCGGCGGGGCTGTGTTGTACGAGCGGGCTGCGTGGCGGCTGTGGCCCGGGAGTGAGCGGCGCGGGGTCGGATCCCGCGGAGCGCGGCGGAGTCCGGCACCAATCCCTGCCTCTGCAATCCTGGCTCTTCCCGGTTCCCTCCCTCCGCCTCCTGCCCTCCCCCAGCCGAGGCCATTCGCCTCACAGTAGCAAGGTTGTCTAGTATACTCCCTTCCCTTAAACTCACCAAACCAGATTTTTACTCCCAACACCGGTAACTTCCCGTAAATCTGTACTGAAATTTTATCCTGCTCGCTGAGCCTCCACTGGCCGAAGGCCAGTGCAACATTCCTGTTGTTTTAGGAGTGCGGATACCTTAGCTGAAGGTTTTTCAAATAAAGAAAAAAATCATATCGAACCGGCACGATGGAAGGATTTAGGAACTTTGACCGCTTTAGGAACTTTGACCGCTCAAAAAAGACACATCTATTTCAGACATCCAGAAGGGACCCCAGAAGAGGCACCTGCCCCACCTGGGGACATCTGGGAGAGTGGCTTCCGGCCGCCTGGGGCTGTTCAGAGTAAGCAACCCTGAGCCTGTACCGAGGACTAAAGACCCAGCGCCTGAATCCCAGGCGAGCAGTGCCACCCCACCCCACGCCCGGCCTGGCAGGGCAGGAAGGCGCTGAGCAGGTAGGGCGGCAGCGAGCCCCGCCGCGGGCCTGCAGGAAGCCAGGACCTCCTTACCTGGGGCCGAGCATGGCTCGGAGAGCACAAGCAGGCACGTCACGGGGCCCAAGCCCTGACCTTTGCCGGGGCCTTCACAGCAGGGCCTGGGGCCTGGGCGCCGCTCGTTCAAAGTGGCTCATTCTTAATGCGCTCTGACCTAGTGTTACAGCTGGTTTCTAGAAAGGGAACAAAAACAGTGCGTGGAGAAACTGCAGCCAAGCCCTCTCGTAACCTTGCCTCTAGTCACTGGGAAGCCGGCTCCGGCTCCGACCCCCAGCCCCACTCCCACGAAACCCACCCAAGGGCGGCGATCCCCGCCCCACCCCTCGGGTTACCTGTTTATACAAGAATTAAGGAGCCTCCCGCATTTCAATGGAGCGCTAAGCCTGTTTGGAGGCACGGAATCGGCCAACAGGAATCGAATTCTGTGACTAAACAAACTAACTAGAAGAGGAAGCGGGCACCACCAGGAACCTAAAGTTGTGATTTTGGGTTGCAATGTCATGCAACTGAGAAAGAGAAAAAAACTACTGTTTCGCAGTGGAGTACTTTAATTAAAGGAATACTCCAAAACCTTTTCCCCCCTCTAGTTAAATGAGTTAACACGAAGCTTAGTAGAGTATGGTATACAGCATTAGCCGCCATTGTTAGTGATATTATTATTGTGTATTATGGATTTTTTTTTCAGTAGAGAAGGATAAGGGAGATTAAAGGGAAGCTCCGGCCCAACACGCTGCACTTCACTATCTGTGAGGATACGAGCAAGTTATTTAACAGCCAACCCCGAGTTTCTGGAAGATTCTAAGGATGGGAGTTTTGCATTCATTGTGGACAGTCTCAGCTAGAAGGGAAAACCGAGTCTTTGTAAAGGGGTGTACAAACACTACATCTGTCCGGCGTTCCACGAAGAGCACTAGGGGACTCTGGGATCGAATGTCCGTCACAGTGCAGGGTCCTGATTTGGATTTAGTCACTTGACCTGCAGGGTCATCCTGCAAGTTACTCTATTGGTTAAAAGTCAGTGCTAGATAACAGTGGACCATGCAGTCTGAAAATGTGTGCAATTCAGAAAGTGATTCGAAAACTCATAAATATCATCAATACCAAGTAATACTGGAGGCTAACAGGGAATGGATGTCTCTGCCCTTTGTCCTCCCATTAACTTGACGTGTAAGTGAGGACCCTAATCTCCTGCTGATGCCTTTCTGGCTCAGGTGCACTTTCACCCCCTTTACCTCATCTGACCCTCGGGTCTGCCCCAACTCTGGAGGTGAAGACACGGTCCATACAGAGGTTAGGTGATCAGTCCAACTGCTCCCTGAGTGCTGACCCTTCCAGTCTAATCAAAAAGCAACATCTTGGCACCATTAGCAAAAGTAATTCCTGAAGCCAGACAGGAATTCTGAAGTTTTAGATCCTTTTGATCTTTTATCATTTTAGGCAGCAAAACTCAAGCCAGAGCAAGGCTTTGTCAATAGGTGCCTCTGTGTGTGTGTGTGTGTGTGTGTGTGTGTGTGTGTGTGTGTGTGTGTGTGTGTGTGTGTGGTGTGTACTTGGACTCTCTGACTGTAGAAAACCCCCAGTTCCTGCACTGTTCCTAAGGGTTGATACAGGCAGGCAGGAACCTGGATACAGCTGTGACAGCTTGGAAAGCCAGCTCCCCACCAACCTCACTGTCCTTGCCTCTCCGTCTAGAGCTCAGCCTGAAGAGACACCTTAGTGTCAGGGACTCTCTGAGCCTGAGGAACAGCTGTCTGCTTCAGAATAGGTTTAAGCCCTGGGAGCAAGGACTACAAATAATAGACTAGATCAATGGTCCTCAACCTGAAGATCGAGACCCCTTGGGGGGGTCGCACATCAGATCCCCTGAATATCAGATATTTACATTGCGATTCATGACAGCAGCAAATTTACAGTTATGAAGTAGCAACAACGAAAAAATGTTGTGTTTGGGTGACCGTGACATGAAGAATTTCGTTAAAGGGTCATGGCGTTAGGAAGGTTGAGAAGCACTGGGGTGAAGTCCAGCAAAGTGGCTTTTAAAGTCAGCAGAATACACACAGCCAGACCCTGTGTCAACAAGAAAGGAAGGCATAGGAAGGGAAGGGGACTTGAGGTGCTGTAGCTCCGTGGTTGAGCACTTGCCTAGGATGAATGTGAGTGTGTGGGAGCTGCTGACCTAGAGCTAGCTGCCCCTGGGAGCTGAGCCCTGGGAAAGTCTTCGTAAGTGTTTCTGAGTCTGTCACTTGCCCTCAAAAGCCCAACGGCAGCCTGCATTTGCACGCCTGCTTTTCTGTTCTACCCATGGCACAGCAAGCTGGGCATGCCGCAGTTCTGTTGTCTGTGTAACAGAGTGTTGAGCAGTCCAGGCTAGCCTGGAACTTGCTGTCTTCCTACTTCAGTACCCGAGTGCTGGGGTTGCATGCACGCGCTTCCAAGTTGGCACAATTCTTTCGAGAGTTGTTTTCTGGGGGAGTAGTGAGGGCAAGGAGGGGGCTGAGACAAGATTTCATGTAGTCCAGTCTGGCCAAGCAAAACAGAGTCATGTAGCCCAGGCTGGCCAAGCAAAACAGGTAAATTCTTTATCCCGCTTTCCATTTCTCTCCCTAGGAATATGGTAAAGATACCACAGGTTCTTTTCTTCCTTCCTTCCTTCCTTCCTTCCTTCCTTCCTTCCTTCCTTTCTTTCTTTTATTTAAGTTAGAAACAAGCTTGTTTCACATGTCAATCTCAGCTCACGGTTTTTTTTTTGTTGTTGTTGTTGTTGTTTTTGTTTTTTTAAAGACTATTTTTCACTATGTTGCCCATGCTGGTCTTGAACTCACATACGTGAGCCACCACACCTGGTTAAAACAAACTTCTAAAACTGACAGACTATGAAAAAACAAATGTAAGCTTTTGTTATTCCTGTCCTATGGCTGGCCTTCGTGTCAGCTAAGTCCCACTCGCGTGTTATTTTAGTGCTTGAGACCCTGACTTGGGTGGACCTTCTGCTTCTGCCCTATTCCACCTCAGAGGCCACATTCCAGGAAGACTACAAAGAACATGAAGAGTTTTGGATCTTGGGCTGGGGAGTTGACTCAGTGGGTAAACACTTGTTGCACAAGTGTGGCAAGCTGAGTTAGAACACACAAAACCCACAAAGAGCCAGTGCTCCTATGATGAGAGAGGAGGCGGGACTGGGACCATCCCCAGAGGCCTGTGGGCCAGCTGGCCTGTCATACGGAGTGGCAAACAACAGAGACTCTGTCCCAAAGGAGTTGGAAGGCAAGGCCCAACACCCAGGGGTGTCCTCAGGCCTCCACACACGCTCATGAACACACACACACACACACACACACACACACGCATGCTTGGTCATACATACCGTTCGTGTATGTATATCAGATGCACATACACATGGAGAGATTTGATCTCAATTTAGCTTATTACCTGAATGATGTCACACAGCTGCTTAGGTACTCTGAGCTACAGTGCCCTCACTTGCTAAAAAACATCTACCTTCTGGCTTTTTAGGAGTTAAACAAAAGATGAATTCTCAGCATGGTTCCTGGCACTTAGAAAATACACAGGAAATGGTATTTCCCTTGGTACCTGGAAAACACCTACTCCAAGGCTTTTAAAAGAGTTGTCTTTCCTCTATTTAAATCTCAGCTCAATGCTATGCCAAGGCATTCTCATTGAAAGAGGCAAGCCTCAGACCTTTGTAAAGAACCACAATATAATAAGAACTGCTCGTGCATGCAACATTTCCAAAGACACATTACCAACCATCACAGCTGTATGTATTAAGATGAGTAAGGCAGAAATCATGTGCATTACCCCATAGCTCAGATTAGAAGACTAAGGCTGGCAGCCATTTCTCCAAGCTTCTAATATATGACAGAGGCAGAGTTTTTGTGGCTTCTCACTATTCTGCAACACTGAAGCTATGGTTGCTTTCCTGAAGCCAATTGAGGAACTGATTAGAGGAGCTAAAAATGATGGCTTTTGGCCAGGTGTGGTGGCCAATGTCTTTAATCCCAGGACTCTGAAGGCAGAGGCAGGAGGATATTTAGGAGTTCAAGGTTGGCCTGGTCTATCCAGTCTAAACAGCAAGCTCCAGGACAGCCAGGGAGGGGTACATAGTGAGTACTTGTCTAGTTATAAGTTATTTTCTTCTCCAAACCTCACCGTAGGGCTGATGGCAGTACCCGTTTGCTCATTGTGAGGTCTGAATGGTAATACACACACACACACACACACACACACACACACACACACACACACACATACACACACACACACGAAAGCATTCACAGACACAGAGGAAGAGGAAAAGAGCGTTTTTACTCACCAATCATTTTTTTTTCTTTTCTCTTACTATTGGGGAATGAAATCCAGGATTCCTTACATGCTGGACAAACACCCCTCAGGCCTACTACCTTTTCAATACCGAAAAGTTATTTCTCCTCAGTGGCCCATGGGGTGACTCTGGGACTGTGTGCAGAGTTTAAGCCATTGCCTGGAACACAGTGTCTATCAGTGCTCTTGTTTTTCTACATATCAATGTTTTGCCATGATCACGTGAAGTCATGATAAATGACTGAGTTTATTGGTTGTGGTAGGGTAGGGACACTTGTTTTTTATTTCTCATGGGAGCTGACAATATCATTTCAGTAATTTTATTTTCTTCTCACTTTCATTTCTTTCAGTTTTATCTGTACCAGAGCAAGTTATGGTAGATGAGATAAAATCACCCACCTGGGCCCTAAAGTCTATGGAGACTAGTGATATTTTCCTGATCAGAAAGTCTTCAAAAACTGAATCTGGGCCAGGCAGTGGTGGTGCATACTGTAATCCCAGCACTCTGGAGGCAGAGGCAAGTGGGTCTCTGTGAGCCAATATCTCATGCCTGCCTGGTCTACAGAGTGAGTTCCAGGACAGGTAGGGCTGTTACACAGAGAAACCCTGTCTCCCCCCCCCCCAAAAAAATTAAAAACGACAGAACTGAATCCATCTTTAATCCAGAACATGCAACCAGACTCAAAGTCCTGTTGTCCCCATCGTTTTTACAGCCTCCTGCTTTTCTGTGTCTGAGGACAGCACTCATATAAGACTTAAAAACAAACAAACCAAGAAAACCCACTTCATTTACAACTTTAACACTAAATCCCCACTGGATCTAATTCGTGCAAATAGAAGACATTCTGTATTGCAAATACAAGACCCCTCCCCCCAGCACTCTAATCCAAAGGATTAAAATCAGTGGCCAAACCCAGACCACAGTCGCTGCCCATAGCGTGAGTAGGGCCATTCAGAAATCTATTAGAAGGCATCTGGCTTGGCAGTTTCCATGCCACACTGTAGGAGGGCCTCTAACTGAATTTTAAAAATGTACTGAGTTCACAGAAAAGAGAATTAAGTATAGCAGGGGTTCCCTCTGAACATTAATCTCAGAAGCCAAATCCTTCATTTTGCAAAAGACCTTCAATACAGGAGTCCCTTGACCTTGGTCCCTCTTGCACAAACAGCTCTGCCAAAGACAGCCCTACTGAGAGGGAGGGAGCTCCCATGTAAACTATAGGCCCTTAAAGGCTCACTCAAGACCAAGAAGTGATTTGTTATGGCAACAAATGCTATTAATTCCTTTGTATCTCTTTAAGACTTGTTCCCCCACCAGGTCTCCAGATTTCTGCTTATTTTATAATGGAAACAACCACACACAAGAACTCGATCAGCCAGCAGAACTTACCAGAAGAGACTGTCAACGTGGATTTGCTAATATTTATTAGCCGCTTGTTAGACTGTTCGCCAGACAGTATCACATGCTTCACATATATTAACTGTGCTAACTTTACAGGAATGCCATGAGACAGAGACCACTGTGATGCTCCTGTTATTGATGAAGAGATTAACATGCAGAGCAGGTAGGTGACCCAGCAAAGAACCCACAGATAGACTGTGGCAGAACTAGGCAGTCTGGCTTTGCGATCCTAACCATGACATCCCATGGCCTATCACAGGATGTCATATTTGTCTACAACTACTTTATATGAATCTGGGTAGCTATGCTCCTGCCTATATCCAATGGGGCCCAGAAGAGCGCCTGAATGAGTGTGGTGGCACCTGCTTGTAATCCTAATTCTTAGGAAGCTGAGACAAGAGACTTGTCTCAAGATAGAGGCTAGCCTGGGCTACATTGAAGTTCAAGACCAGGTATCTAGCAAGACTGTTGGGGGTGGGGGAGTGTTGTGGAATATGACTTTGACTATGTAAAGATGAGTTACATTCGTTTGTGCTGCATTTGTTTAAGAATGTAAAGAAGTACTGCTTTGCCTGCCTAAGGCATCTGATTGGTCTAATAAAAAGCTGAACAGCCAATAGCTAGTCAGGAGAGGGATAGGCGGGGCTGGTGGGCAGAGAGAATGAGTAGAAGAAGGAATCTAGGCTGAGGGAGAATGAGGGAAGAGAAAACAAGGGAGAAGGAGGGAGATACCTGGGGCCAGCCAGGCAGCCAGAAGTCAGGAAGACACGGAATAGGACATTCAGAATGAAGGAAAGGTAAAAAGCCCTGAGGCAAAACATAGATGAAGAGAAACAGGTTAATTTAAATTGTAAGAGCTAGCAAGAAACAAGCCTAGCGCCGGGCGTTGGTGGCGCACGCCTTTTATCCCAGCACTCGGGAGGCAGAGGCAGGCGGATCTCTGTGAGTTCGAGGCCAGCCTGGTCTACAAAGTGAGTTCCAAGACAGCCTCCAAAGCTACAGAGAAACCCTGTCTCCAAAAACACCAAAAAAAAAAAAAAAAAAAAAACAAGCCTAGGCTAAGGCCGAGCATTTACAACCAATAGTAAGTCTCCATGTATTGATTTGGCTTGCTGGGGAGGGATGGGAGGGGAGGCAGGGCAGGTCATGACAAAGACAGTGCCTAACACTTAGTAGTCAGTGTAGATATACATCTAAATATTAGGGTCCCAAATATTCAGAGCAGTGTACCAGGGAAAGTGGAGTCTGGCTCAGCTCAAGACAGGCTTAGGGTCACATGTGAAAATGACTGAAGGATGATTTCAAGGCACCAGCTGTAACTTAGAAATAAAACGCTTGGCTAGTAGTGTTGGCTCAAGTCTTTGGTTCAGTTTCCACCAACTCAAAAAGAAAAGCTTCCAAAGGTTGAGGAGTATGTTCTCAAAGGTTTTCATCATCTGAAGTGTACTGTAGGGAATGACCACTTTACAGAAAGGAATTAACTGCACATATGGCCATTAAAAAACCACATTACAATGATGTGTAAACACTACCAGGCATGGTGGCCTATGCCTATAATTCTAGCGCTCACACACTGAGGCAGGAAGACTGGGAGCTTGTTTGAAGGCTAGCCTTGTCTACAAAGCAGAGCGTCTGTTTCAAAGTTTTCAAAAACGGAGCTACAGAGATGGCTCAGTGGTGAAAAGCGCTCACTGCTCTTCTAGGCCACCCAAGTTCAGTTCCCAGCACCCATGTCAAGTGGCTCACAGCCACCTTCAGCTTTAGTTCCAAGGAACGCATATCCTCCCCTGGCTTTAGTGAGCACGCATAATGCATTCCTGCATACACGTATACATATCTATGTACATACATAAATAATAACAAAAAATGTAAAAACAAATGCTCTTTAGTTTTATCACTTTTATTTACTTAGTGTGTGCGTGCATGTGTGTGGGCACATGTGGGAGTGGGGGAGACATCTTGAGGGAGTTTTCTTTCTCCTTTCTCTATGTGGGACCCAGGGGTCAAATTAGGGTCATGGGGCTTAACCACATGTGCCGTTACCCACAGAGCCATCTCAGTAGCCCACAAAGTGAACATTCTTATCTTTATTTCTATTGTTCCTCTGCTTGGAATATCTTTGTTTTCATAATCTATCCATCCATCAGCAGGGTACACTCCATCCATTCATTCATCAGCAGGGTATACTCCATCCATCCATCCATCCATCCATCCATCCACCCATCCATCCACAGGGTACACTCCATCCATCAGTAGGGCACACTCCATCCATCCATCCATCCATCCATCCATCCATCCATCCATCCATCCACAGCAGGGTAAGCACAATAGTTAAGAACACATTCGGCCAAGAGTGGGGTCACACACCTGTAATCCCAGATTGGAAGGGAGAGGCAGGAAGATTAAGAGTTCAAGCCAGCCCCAGTTACTTGAAACCCCACCACTTGACCTTCCCTCCAAAAGAACAGTCTGAAGCCAACTGCCAAACCTGGATCCTGTCCCAAAGGCCTATGAGCACGTATCTTGAGCACTAGGGTCTTTAGACTCCTCATTGCTACCCACTTCATTAGGGAGGCCCCATGTGTGGTATACAGGGTGCTGCAAACAGAAATAGCTCAAGCTCCATCTTGGCATTTTGTATTGCGATTGTTTGACCCTTTTTTTTTTTTTTTTTTTTTGGTTTGGTTTTTCAAGACAACAGGGTTTCTCTGTATTGTTTTGGAGGCTGTCCTGGAACTCGCTCTGTAGAACAGGCTGGCCTCGAACTCACAGAGATCAGCCTGCTCTGCCTCCCGAGTGCTAGGATTAAAGGCATGTGCCTCCAATGCCAGGCCTGCGATTGTTTGACCTTAAATCCTATGATTTGTTTTGTTTTTGCACTGAGGAATCTTTGTCTCTTGTTCTGAGACAGAGTCTCAGGTAGTCTGGACCAGCTTCAGAGAATGAGGGATCACCTTGAGCCCTTGAATTCTCATCTTCTTGCCTCCACTCATCTCAAATGCCGAGATTACAAAAGCACACCACCACGCCCGGCTCCATCTATTCTTTTATTCCCCCAATATTTATCAGGCGTTGCTATGTGTCAGATTCTGTGCACCATCCTAAAGATAAAAAGGAAAAATGAGACTAGGTTCTCATCCTCGAGGATCTAGTATGTACGGAGACAGGGAAATAACCACCTGACAGACCTTACAGTTTGGAAGCCCAGGAGGCGATGAGAGGACTCATACATTCTAAAGAGCTAATTTGGGGAGATGGAGGCAGAGCTAAAACTGCCTAGGAGTTAGCCGGGTTAAAAAATAAAAGGTGAGGGGAGGGAGTACCCTTCATCAAGTCACCAAGAAACCAAAGAGAGGCAGGATGTGAGTGCAGGGAGGCATTCTCTGGGGCTAGAGGAGGAGATGAAGGCTGTAGGAGAGGAAATTATGAGCTGATGGATTGGTGGCCATAAGGAATCTTGTCTGTCATAAGTGGGGATTCAGAAGGGTTTAATCCTTGTTTGTTTTGGGGGCAGAGTCTCACTATTGTAGCCAAGGCTGCCTTCAAATCTGTCATCCTTCTACCTCTGCCTCCCAGGTGCTGGGACTACAAGTACACAGCAACATGCCTGTCTGCAGAAAGGTTTTCTTTTGTGTGAGTGTATGTGTATGTGGCATATACATGATTGTATATGTGTATACCTGTGTAGGAGAGATGTGCATATGAGTACACACATGGCAGTCTATTCATTGCTACCCCATCCTACCCTCACTGTTCACTGTTAGAGTTAAAGGTACACAGATAAAGGTACCTGACGTTATTTATTTATTTTGTGTGTATGAACATTTTGTTCACATGCATGTATACATACCATGGACTGGGGGAACTGGGGTTACAGACGGTTGTAAGCCAATATGTGGGCACTGGGAATTGAACCCAGGTCCTTTGAGCTTACCTCTCCAGCTCCCCCCTCCTTAAACATGGGTGCTAGGAATCTGGAATTGATTCCTCCGGCTTACGCAGCAGCCCTGAGGTTTTCATGTCATGCTGGGTACAGGGCATGGTATCAATCCCAGGACTCAGAACACCAAGTCAAGAAGACATGGGCTTTGGGGTCAGCCTGGGCTATATAGCGACACCCAGTGTCCAAAAGAAAACAAAATAAAATGAGCATATCGGCGTGAGTCCACAGTCGTGTCAAACTAGATGAAGAAGAAAGATTCGAGATGTAGGGGGCTAGAGAGATGGCTCAATGGTTAAGGATTCAAGATATATTTGGTGGTAAACGTCATAAGGCTTAGTGACCAGGCAGATCATGGAGGAGGGACGAGGTAAAAGTAGAAATGTTGTATCATTTACTGTCATGCTCCCCTTCCTCCTCCTCCTCCTCTTTTTCCTCTGTCTTCTTCCTCACACAGGCTTGCTTGACGTGCAGTGCAGGGTCACTTGAGCTCCTGGGCCTCCTGCCGCCACTTCTCTTGTACGAGTTTTATGGGCATGACCCAGAACATCCAGCCTACATGGTACTTTGTGAAGTGAGAACTTCAGGCCGTGTGTATATGGAAGGAAAAAGCTGGCCCAGGCAAGCAGGGTAGTGCACACTGGTAATCCTAGCACTTGGAGGGTGGAAGCAGGAGAATTAGGAGTCCAAAGCACCCTTAGTGACATAGTGAGCTTGAGGCCAGGCTGGGCCTCAAAGCAAAGTAAGACCTGAGGTCCCTAAGACACAGGACGATTCATTAGTTCACCCCACCATCTATTTATTCAGCGTGTTTTTATTGTCTACTGAGTCAAGCACTGAGGAGACACAGATGATTAGAGAAGCAAGATCCATTATCTTCATAGTGGAAGACACACGTAACTGCCCATCATACAAAGTTAGGAGACCGTAGTAGTGGCTACAAAATGCCAGGAGGAATTCGCCAATTCTGCCTTTGGGGGAAAGGAAAGTGAGCTGAATTTCTTAGACTTGTGCTTTTGTTTTTTGAGACAGGATCTAAACACACAGCCCAAGCCAGCCTCAAACTCTCAATTCTCCTGTCTCATCTTTTTGAGTGCAGCAATTACAAGTCCACATCACCCCTCCCAGCTGAGGTGGAAACATGTGGACTGGGAATTCAAAATGAGAAAGCAAAGAGCCTCAAGACATTCTAGCCAGGGAACTCATGAACAAGAAGCAGGCAG